CAGAGCAGAGCAGGACCAGAGAGCTCTTTCTGACTGAGAGCAGCAGAGCAGAGCAGAGCAGGACCAGAGAGCTCTTTCTGACAGAGCAGCAGAGCAGAGCAGAGCAGGACCAGAGAGCTCTTTCTGACTGAGAGCAGGAGAGCAGAGAAGGACCAGAGAGCTCTTTCTGCTCCAGTGTGGTGGGAGCAGGAGCAGGGCGGATACCTTGCTGGGCAGTGAGCGAAGGGCAGTGTCGTTCAGCAGCAGGAAGGGTCCCAGTGTTGCCATCATGCTTGAGGTCCAGGTGGAAGGATCCCTGGAAGAAAAGGATTCCGAGTGGGAAAATCCTCTGGGCAGAAGCACAGCTAGGGGCTGGCATGACAGCTTGCGGTTCGACCACCAACAGAAAACTCCTAAACCCCAGCCTCGGCCCCCATTTTATTCCGAGGCTTTTACTCCTGTTCCTGGCTTTCATCGGCGTGTCCGAGTTTATCCCAGAATGCTGGTGTGACCTTGTGGATCCCAGCACATTCATGTTTATCCCAGTGTGTGTCCCTGTGTCTCTCACTGTAATCCAGCATATCCCAGCATGTCCCAGCATGTCCCAGCATGTCCCAGCATGTCCCCCAGTGTCTCCCAGTGTCTCCCAGTGTCTCCCAGTGTCTCCCAGTGTCTCCCAGTGTGTTTCTGTGTCTCCCAGTGTAATCCAGCATGTTTCTGCATCTCCCAGTCTAATCCAGTGTGTCCCTGTGTCTCCCAGTGTGTCCCTGGAGAAGGCCTAGCTGGCGCCCCAGTGCCCACCCCTCTCTCTCCCTGCTCCTCACCCATAGATGCTCTGTATCCGGCCGAAGAGCGCCTCTCTCCGGCTGGCGTTGAGCTGTCGGCACTGTGCCAGGGTGGAGAGGCTGGCGTTGAGGGCCTCCTGGGACAGGAGAGAGAGGTTCTGGGGCCCCAGTTCACACAGGAGGGGCCCGAGTTTCAAGACATCCTGCCCGGTCAGCGACGTCACATTTTTGCCCTGAAAGGGGGACAGAGAGAGAGAGAGAGCCGTCGTCTTATTTTTTTGGTATTGGCAGTAAGGCTTTATCAGGTTCATATTACATCATTCAATGTGCAAAATCACTTGAATGGAAAAAATTGTTTCTCACTGGTTGATTAGTTACTGGAAAGATGAGCGAGATCATTTCATTTCCTGCGGGTTGAAGAGAAGAGCTCAGGATCTGTATAACGGAGCGTGTCCCAGCCGCCCTGACATGAAGTTAGTGGGTTAACGAGCGCTCACCAGGCAGGCCAGGGCGCGCTCTCTCAGGGCCGGGCGCGTGAGGGAGCTGTGCGGAATGGCAGTCAGGTTGATCTGTGCCACCTTCTCCAGGAACTGGGAGCACACTGCCGGCGGGAGGCCGGCCAGCTTCTCCGGACTAGGGGGAGAGAGGGAGAGGGACCGGGAGGGGGAGATGGAGAGGGGAAGGAAGTACTGTAAGCGTAATGGCAATGATCTCCGAGGTGCTCCGTTGCGATCTCTCCTTGCCTGTTCCCTCTGTACCTCTGTGTACACATCCTCCATCACCCCTCAGTGTGCCTGGTCATCCTGGGTCATCCCAGTGTATTCACTTACCCCATGTGTCCCTGTCACTCATTTATCCCTAATTACTCCAATATCATTATCCCAGTGTGCATTCTAAACCTGTTAGTATTTTTCAGTGTGTCCCAATGTGTTCTGGTCTCTGTGTATCCCAGTGTGTCCTATTGTATCCCTGTTTGTCCCTGTCTATCCAGCTATGTCCCTAATCATCATGGTGTCTCTGTTCATTCCCAGTGTTATCCAATGTCTCCCCGTTTATCCCAGTGCGTCCCAGCTCTCTCCTATTTGTTACAACGGATTTCTGTGATCTGCATATTATCTCAGGGTATTCCGGGACGTACCAATGCATTCCTTTATATGCCAGTGAATTTAGTGTGTTCCAGCACAATCCAATACATCCCTTTCTATTCCCGTTTATTCTATTGTGTCAGTGTATCTCACTAATGTGTGCCCTAGGCTGTCCCACTATGCTCTTGCCCTCCTCCTTGACTCACGGCAGGTGCAGAAGGATCAGAGCTGGAATGGCTCGGAGCTCAGAGTCAGAAATGTTGGAGAAGTAGTTCTGTCGGAGATTACCCAGGTAGGAGAACAGCTTCTTCGCAATACAGCTCACCTGGTGGGGGGAAGACACACATCACACATGGTGACACTGGTGACCTGTGAAGGTTCTGCACGCACGCACACTCACACGCATGCACACGCACCTGAACTTCTGCACACAGGTGCAGGTGAGTTCTAACTTTTAATTCCCTGAATCAGGCGGATTTGCTCCTGCAGACACCCCTGTGTGAACAAGAGTGACTGGGGCTCCCCTGGTGTCCCTGCGTGTACCTGTGACTTGGAGAGCCAGGCCTCGCTCTGCACCAGTGTGTTAGTGGTCTCCTGCACACTGCTGTTGCCCACGCTGTCAATCGTCGTGCAGGTCACGCCTTGCACGGCCTGGCCCAGCTTTCTGCAGAGACCATCAGCAGAACATTATCATCATCATCATCACTGTGGCCACCAGTGTCACCTTCGTCACCAGTATCATCATCATCATCATCACTATCACCAACATTATCATCAGAATTATCATGATGAACAGTATCATCATCACCATCATCACTGTCGCCATCAGTGTCACAATCGTCAACAGTATCACCATCATCACTATCATTGATATCAACATTATCATCATAATTATCAGGATTAACAGTATCATCACCAACACCATCATCATCAGAATCACCAGCATCAGAGTCATCATCACTATTAGCAGTTTCACCACCAACACTATCACAATCACCAAAATTATCATCAACAGTACCAGCATGGTAAATTAGGGGTCAAAGCTACAATTAACAGATAAAAATTAAGATCCTCATACTTGATGTCCTGGAGATTAAGCTTCGATCCCAAAATGTTTCTCACCAGCAGGGCAGACTGCAAAATTAAACACACACAAGGTTACTCTTATGATTGACCTGTTTTCACCCTCTGGTTCACCACACACTCAGTCTGAGCCAAACTAATTCTGCCACCCTTTTATCTGAATACAGTTCCTATGTGTGGAGTTTGTATGTTCTCCTTGTGTTCACATGGGATTCCTCCAGGTTCCCCGGTTTCCTC